GGCAGAAGTCTAGTCTGCCTGTTGCGACATTCCAGCCGCTTCCCAGAATGGTGTTGACAGACAGCACCGTGACAGTGCATAACCTTGATTTGTGCTCTTGTCTGAATGTCTCTGAGTCATATTCTATCATTGCTTTTCTTTCTTTCTGCCTCCCTCCCTTCGTACTTCTCTCTCTCTTCCTCTCCCCTCCCTCCCCTCCTTTCTCTCTCTCTCTCCCTCCCCCTTCCTTCCTTCCTCCCCCCACCCCGCCCCCCACCCTGTGTGAAAGCAGGCATCTCCTCTGTGTTTTGGATTTTAAGGGAAGCCCTCTCAGTTCCTCCCCGCTGGGCCTGGTGCTGGCTGGGGTGTGCTGGGCGCGGCCTTCCTTATGGTGAGGTGCGCACCCTCCGGGCCCAATGTGCTGCAGACTTTATCGTGAATGGGTGCTGGATTTTTCCAAACACCTTTTTCTGCATCTATCTGTATGATCATATGACTTTAACCCTTCATGTTGTTTACATGGTGTATCACATTCATTCATTTGCAGATATTGTACCAACCTTACGTATATTAAACAAAATAAAATTATTTCAAGTGAAATTTTCTGTTTTTTCTGCCCCTAGAATCACCAGTACATTTTTTACCGTGTTACTGAAAATAGGTGGGAAAGCCAAATTCCATGCATGGGAGAAAATCTCCCTCTATAAGTAATACACCTTTTATCTGCAAGAGTTAACAGGCCTCTTAAAGTGCTCATTTTACCCAGAGAGGGGAACACACGACCCTCTGAGGCCTGGCCTGGCTTTACTTAGGAAGACTGCAACTTAGACTTGTCTGTATCATTCTGCCTGCTGCTTAGTTATTGATGACATTGACTTTCAGTTTTAAAAAGTCTTGCTTTGGAAAATTGTTTTTAACAGCTCTCAACCACTCATGGTCTGTGTTTTTATTTTATATCACTTTTCATTTGGGATATATGTAAGTCAAATCCATGGTAACTGTTCTCCATGATTCAATTTATTTTTACCCAAGATCCATTGAATTCAAGTCACTGCCTTCTCGCAAAAGGTTAACCCAATATTTCATGTTGTACTTTCTACGTATGCTACGTAAAAGAAAAGTCACTGTGATAAGCAGCCAATAAATTGTATTCAGAATGTTTATTCTCAAAAGTTACATTACTCTGCCGAAGTAGATAAACATAATCATTTATCACAATATGGATTGTGGAAGTAAAAACTAAAATAAATGCTGCCGTCTTTCTTGCATGTTACCCAGATTTTTTCTTTCTCTTTTTGTTTCCTTTAAATGTTGGCCACAATAACCATCTTTAAAAATGTCATCTTTTTCTTTACCTGTTTGAATTAATATGAGATTAGTAATGGTTCAAGGTTAAGTTACTAGACAAACAAAAAGTGCATTTATTTTATAATAAGAAAATGTTTTCATTTTTTGTGTGAAGTGTGATTAATTATATTTTTAATGTTGGCTATTATTAATAGGTTGCTTTGGCATTTTATGATAAGGAATAAACCAGTTAAAACTCATAGCTCTCCAGTAAGTTTGTTGTCCAGACAACGGCCATCTGAAGATATAAACTGAAAAACTATCATGTCCATCATAACAGGACTTACTAAAAATAATTGTCATTTCTACTTGGGATAATAAAGTAAGCCCCAGTGATTTGTCACAGTGAATAGAGTATACAGGGAAATCCAGTGAAAGGAGATTTTTGTGCCTATTGTTTTTGGTAACACCTTTATTGATAAATAATTTACACACCACACAATTCACCTTTATGAAGTATAGAATTCAAAAGCTTTTTGTGTGTTCATAGAGTTGTGCTACCATCACTATAATCAATTGTATCACCTCAGAAAGAAACTGTAACATATACCCTTTAGCAGTCACTCCCCATTTTCCCCCAATTCCACAGCCCCTGGCAACCACAGTCTACTTTCTGTCTCTACAGATTTGTCTTTTCTAGACATTTTATATAAATAGGATCATAGAATATATGGCATTTTATAACTGGCTTTGCTCAGTATGTTTGCCATATTCATATGTTATACATAAATTTCCCAAATTTCTTTCTGTTATGGATATCTAACTCTTTTGCATTGTATTTAGAGAAATACTTTATATGACTTCAATTCATTGAGGCTTGTTTTTTGGCCTTGTAGATGGTTTAGCTTAGAGAATGTTCTGTGCACGCTAGAGAAGAATGTGTTTTCTGCTGCTGTTGGGTGGAGTGTTCCACAGGTATCTATTAGGTATTAGGAACACACTGGTGTTCGAGTCAGTTTCTTTTTTCTTCTCCCTTGAGTATAAGATTCTTGGTTGATTTTTTTTTTCTTTCTAGTACTTTGAAAATGTCATCTCACTGCTTTCTGGCAGCTGTTGTTCTAGATGAGAAGTCAGCTGTTAAACTTATTGGAGTTTCCCTGTACATGATGAGTCAATTTTTTTCCTTTTGCTTCCAAGGTTTCTTTTTGGTGTTAACTTCTAGCATTTTTATTACTGTGTCTATGTGTGGCTCTCTTTGTATACATCGTATTTCACATTTGTTTAGCTTCTGCATGTACAGTTTAATTTGTTTTCTCATTTTAGAACTAATTTTGGGAAGTTGTCAGCCATTATTACTTCTTATATTTTTTTGACCTTTCTTTCCTTTCCTGGTATTCTTATTACTATATTTTGGTGTACTCAATAGTGTACCACATATCTCCTTTAAGGCTCTGTTTTTGTTTTTCATTCTTTTTTTCCTCTCTCTGTCAGATTGCATAATCTCTCTTGATCTCTCTTTAAGTTTGCTGATTCTTCTGCCAGTTTAGATCTATTACTGAGTCCCTTGAGAAATTTTTTATTTTAGCTGTTGTAGATTTCAACTCCAAAATGTCCAGTTGGTACTTTGCTGTAATTTTTTCTCTGTGTGGATATTCTCTATTTGATGAGATGTATTAGTCATACCTTTTTTATAATGGTTACTTTAAAATTTTTGTTAAATTTGACCACTGGGCCCTCTGAAAAACAGTTTCTCTCGTCTTCTCTTTCTTCTTGTATGGAACACACAAAACTTCTTTTTTGAATGTCTTGTAATTTTTTACATTGAAACCGAACATTTTAGACAACACATTGTAGTCATTCTGGATACTAATGCACCTCCCCCAGATATGGAGGGTTGTTCTTGTTGTTTGCTTACTTGTCTAGTGACTTGACAGACTATTTTAGGGATGGTCCGCCCCACAGCGTGGACCTCTGCTAGCACTCCCATGGGACGGAGCCCTGGGTGTGGGCACAGCTGCTCTGGGGCGCCGGTGGTTTAGCAGGGCTCTCGGTGCCCTTCCCCCGATCTCTCGGTTAAACTGTCCTCTGGAGTCGGCGTCACACCCAGCTGTTAGTCTCCACTGGTTCCTGGTGTTGATCTATTTTTTTTTTTATAATACCTTGGGATATAGAATTCCCCACAGTATGGTTCAATTAAATTTTGGGTCCCTTTGCAAGGGTGGTTTTTGGTGTGAGTCTTTGAGGTTTCTTGTGATTTCAGGGTAGCTGTTCTTAGCTTTCCCCCCCTGATTCTCTCTGGAAAGCTCTGTGCCTTATGATTTCATTGATTGCTGTCTTGGAGCTGCCAGCTTCCTCTTCGTTGTTTGCCATCGAAACCCTGTGTTTGAGAGCATCCTTAGCTGAGCCGTCCCAAATACTGCGTCAGATAAAGGCAACACGTTTGAAGGGAGCTGTCCATCCCAAGGTCTTCCTCTTCCTCCCGGAACAGCCTCTGAGCCACAGCTCCAGAGCTAAGGGCGGTGACCGTGGCCCGCTCCTCTCAGAGGAACACTTCCCTTTAGGAGCACGGCACTGGTGTTGCTGGTGGCCTCTGAGCTCAGTTTGCTTCTCCTGGGATGCTCATTCTAAATCTCGAGCATGCTGTGCCGAAGGAAACCCAGCCCCGGGTGCTGGCCTGCTGCCCCTGAGGTGGGCGCTGCAGGGGCCGTGCAGGCAGGTGGGGTGATAAATACTGACAGCCCGCCCCCCCCACCCCCGAGGAACACCACAGCCTCCCCTGGATGTGGGGCGCAGGCTCCCTGGGGTGGAGCTGCTGCCCTAACGCTGAGCCGGGAGAGTGATGGGTGGGGGCAGGCGGTCCCTCAAACACCAAACCCCTCACCATGCTTACCACGTTTTAACTGGTTCTTCTTGAATACATGTTTCTTTGTTTGCTGTTGGACAGTAGGGCAGTTTCTGGAGACTTTAAGAGATTCTTCTTTTTACTAATTTTTATCAGTTGTGCGTATTTTGCTGGGGAGTCGGTCTGCGGAGGTTCTTCTAGCACCATTCTGGGAGTGACCCTGGCGGGTATGTTTAAAGACTTGCTTAGGCTTTTGTGTCCATGTGATATTATTTATGCATGTGGTTGCGATTTTTTCTCTTGCTCTATACCTCACACAGTCACAGTAAAATATATATGCTGCCTAGGGGCGTATTTGAAGATAAGCCCAGCGCTCAGGACTGAATTCTGGCTCAGTCCCTTTGCGTGTTAACTGTGAGATCCCAGCCGGTGACTGGAACCACCTGAATTTATCTGCTCATCCAAAATGTTGCGATAATAGTAGTTGATGTAAGTTAAATAGTGCATGTGAAAGCAATTTGTAAATTCCAAAAACTTAAAGTGGAGAGTATTGTTATTTCTAGTTTAAATCAAATCTGGAATAAAGTGCCTTTTGTTCTCATCTAAGACTACCAAGTATAAGGTTTGTATTAAAGGGTCATTTGTTATAGCTCATATGATTTTTAAATCCTTTTTATTACCATTAATAAATATTCTTATAAAGTCAGTGAGGATATCACCTAATAAATGATTTCTTGCAATAAGTTCATTGTGGAATTATAGTAGTAAAAGGTGAAAACATTTATAGTAAATGTTCTTCAGGTGTGTGAGGGAGATGTTAGAATAAAATTTTGATTTATTTTTTATGCCAACACATTTACCTACGTTTCTCCACTGTTCCTCCTGTCTTCAGAGTATCCTGGCCTTGAATCCTCGAATACAAACTCATGCGACTCTGCGTTCAACTTCGGCCAAGAAAATAGACAAGAAACATTGGAAAAGAAATCCCGATAAGAACTGCTTTGTAAGTACCACCGACGCACGATTTCACACTGAAAAATTATTTCATTCTACACATATAAGGCTAGATTTTACATATGCTGAGGAATACAGCTCCGTATGTGTAAAGTGTAGCTTTTATTTGCTTTCTTTGAAATATTTTATATTAGAATAATCTCAGTGTGTGCTAATTTTACTGCTTAAAAAAGAATACTATTGAAACAGTTAAACATCATTTAAATTCAGTTTGATGCCCCAACTTCTTTTCTTAAAAATCTATAAAATCTCTCTCAAAACAGTTTCGTATAATGACAGAAGAGGTTCTGTATCACAGACACAATTTGGCGGGAGAAGGGCAAGCTGGAATGTAGAAACTGTCACCAAGTGTGTTTTTAGGGAACGTGTGAGCATGAGGTGTCCGTGTGAGCGTGTAACAGTGTGTCCGGGTGGGGGCGGGCTCAGAGGTCTCTGAGATCACTCATTGCTAGTGCGTGATTGAACTGGGCCTGTGAGCTGACCACAGGGCGAGGCTGCGAAACCATACGCTGGGATTAACTACAACCTTGAAGGAAGCATTTAAAATGCTATCTTAGGGGGCATGAATCTTTACATTTGTAAATCAATTTTTTTTTTAAGAAATTTATATTTATAGAAAGGGGAAGGGAAAGCGAGAGGGAGAGAAACATCAATATGTGGTTGACTCTCAAGCGCCCCCTACTGGGGACCTGGCCCACAACCCAGGCATCTGCCCTGGCTGGGAATCGAACCTGCGACCCTTTGGTTTGCAAGCTGGCACTCAATCTACTGAGCCACACCAGGCAGGGCAAGTAAACCAATTTTCTTTTAATCTGATTCCCCAAAAATTTCCCCGACAGCAAAATATGAGAGTCCTCGATTTTGTTGTTTCTCTCACATTGCCCACCTAATGGGACGATCCTTTTGGCTGTGCCTTCAGATCTGTGCAGAACTGTCTCCTGTCAGCACCGCCGGGCTTCCCAAGTCACCACCCTTACCTCTCGCCTGGGTCATTTCAGTGGCCTCAAAACAGTCCCGATACGTCTGCCTCTGCCCGGTAGAGTCCTTCCTTTTGTTCACACAGAGGAAGTTTAATGTGGGGACTGGTCATCGTCTCTTAGTCACACGTCTGAGGGGTCCTATCAAAGTCCCCTATCAAAGGGCCTGTCGGTGACTGTCCAGTCTGCACAGTTCCCTTGGCGCCCTTGTCAGCGCAGCGCGGCCCCTCTGGCCGCCCTGTGCCCTGTTTAGAAGGCCGCCGCCGCCCTTCCCCACCGCCCCAGGCCACCCTGCTCCGTCCCTCTCCGCAGCACCCTCAGCGACCTGCTCCACGCTGCTCTCGCGAGTTTGCTTATGGCCTGTCTTTTCCCACCAAAATTCAAAGTCCGGGAGGGTGGGGGCTGCTGCGCTTTGTTCCGTTGGCTGTGTCCCCAGCTCCCGGAGCAGCTGGTGCCCACCCAGGGCCCGTGGACGGATGCATGAAGGAAGGTGACCCCTGGTAGGTGCTCTTTCTGTACGTGACCTGAGGGGCGCAGGCAGGAAGCTAGTGTGCAGTTCCCTGGAGACCTTGGCTTGTTGCATTTGATTCTCACCAGGATGAGGCGGGCAATGGAGATTTGTTCCCTCGTTCGCTCACAAGGAAGAGCTTGCTGGAAATGTGCCGTGATTGTGTACGCTCATTAAAATTACTTAGTGTTGCGGTTGGATCTAGAATTCTGGTCGTGTGACCCTAGTGTGTCCTTTCTGGTATATCCCATAGCCTTCTTAGAAAAGACAAATAAGATTATGACCCGTAATCTTCTAACATTATTCAAGACCACCAGCGAGGTACATTTTCAGCCAACTCTCTGAACCCCAGATATAAAGGTTCTATTTATTTATTTTTATTTTCTTTGATTAAAAAAAACAACACCTCCTTTGCTCCGGCTTTACAGTCTTCCACTTTGGTCTGGTTCAGGAATCTCCGCTTGCCGCTCTGCACACCCCCACCGGGGCGTGGGCCGCGAGCCACTGCCTCCCTGAGGAGGTGTCCTTGAGTCCCTGTCCCCTTCTCTGACCCCGCCTGTCTTTCTCCTTTCCACCTCAGTCCCTGAAGGGGCCAGAGTCCAGGCTCCGCACTGGACGCTGCTCAGAGACGAATGGAACCTGCAAAAACGCTGTCTAGAAATGTCGAATGAAATAGACACAAATTTGGTTTTCATAAATAAATTAGAATATAGGCATCTTCTTAGCGCAGAGCCGTCCGTTTGACCTGTAACACTGCCCTTAAGAAGGGCAGTTCTGAAATGTTTTACCCGGGAATGTCTTCCCTTGGCAATTTTAATCCATTCTAGCACTAATTGGAAATTCTGAATTCAGTAGGGGATTGAAACTGGCAAGTGTGTTTATACTGGTTAATGAAGCACGAAACAGTTATTTCCAGTATCTTTTAAGCAGGTGTTCCGTAACTACTGTTTATTTTTGCCATTTTTGAAAATGTTGAACTGTCCTAATTACATAAATATTTTGCACTCATTTCCCATTAGCAATTTTTTTAAAGATTTTATTTATTTAGAGAGAGGCAAAGGTAGGGAAAGAAAGGAGGAGAGAAACATCGATCAGTCATGGCTCACTCGTGCCCCAGCTGGGGACCAGGCCCAAAACGCAGGCATGTGCTGTGACTGGGAATCAAACCTGTGACCCTTTGCTTTGCAGGATGACATCCAAACAACTGAGCCCCACTGGCCAGGGCATCCCATTAGCAATTTTTGACAACCAGAAAAAACTTACAAATCAGAAAGCATCCTGGGTGAAAACAAAAAGGAAGGCAGTTTAAGGCAGCCAATTATTAGGCACATTTTTCAGAATTTTAGCTAATTTATTCTAACTACCTGGCACTTAGTAGGAGCTCACAGTAAAAAATAAATAAAAACAACAGTAAACCAAATGGTGGAACTGGAGGTTGAATCCACAAATCTGTCAGAAGAGCTTTTTAAGTAGAACTTTCTAAATAAGGAAATGAAAATAAATCATTGACTTGCTTCCTCCTAGACAGCGACAGTGACTGAGGCATGTGTAGGTTTGGGTAAATCGCCTTCCCCCGCGTGTGCTTCCTAATCTCTCTCACAACTTTGTTTCTGCCTTTATTGAGAAGACAGAAGGGGCAATAAGTAATAATAATGCTCTTTCGAAGGAAGGACTGGGAAGGCGTTATAATTTTCAATGAGAGTCGGTCAGAGCTGCCTTGAGCTGAGTCAGCCTGGCCTCGGGAGGCCTCGGGAGCGGACGACGGGTCTGGGGGGAGGCGGGAGGCGAGGGTGCTGGGACTGGTCCGAAGGCTGGAGGACTTGCGCCAGCCCGGGGCCCTGGGCGTGGAGGAGGGCTGGCCGGCCGGAGTGCGTTTCAGCGGCGTCTTAGTCTGCTCAGCTGCGGTAACTGAAATACCACGGACTGGGAGTTCACAGACATTCATTTCTTGGAGTTTTCAGCTGGATGTCCCAGATCAAGGCACTGGCAGGTTCGCTCTCTGGTGAGTGGCCTCGTCCTGGTTCATAGGTGGCCATCTTCTTGCTGTGTCCTCACATGACAGAAGGGACAAGAGAGCTCTCTAGGGTCCCTTCTCTAATGGCATTAACCCCATTTATAAGGACTCTGTCCCCACTGCCCAATCGCCTCCTAAAGGCCACCCATTCAAACGCCATCACATGGGGTGGGGGTGGGGTTTCCGCCTGTGAATGTGAGGGACGCGCACAGTCAGCCCATGGCAGGAGTGACTCGGGGGCTGACTTGATGTGCGGGGTCAGTGGAGAGAAATAGTGAATTCTGCTTGGGATCCCTAAGTTTCTTGACATCTTATTCATACTTGGTTACGGAGTTGCAGCTCAGTAAAGGGCTAGGGCTGGAGGCAGAGAGTTTTGAATCCTCAGCACAGCTGGTACAAGCCTGTGGGCAGAGTTAGCCAGGGAGAGGCTGCAGGTTGGAGGAGAGAGGAGGTTAGACACCTGGAAGCTTTAGGCAAAGGTTAGGGAGAGGCAATGAGGTACTGGCCTTCGGGGAAGATTGTAAGGGAAACTGAAAGAAAGACTCAATAGTCGGGATAAAGAATATAGAAATATAGGAAACACAGATAGAGGAGCAAGGTCTTTGTTTCTGCCTCAGGCTCCAACGTGGCTCCGCCCTGCACCTAACGGTCAGGCAGGCAGAGGAGAGGCGGGGATGAGGACCGCACCAGCTTGGCGCGGGCAGGCAGGGGCGGGAGTGAGCGGAGAAGTCCTCCGTGGGGTGAGACGAGGCCCCGCATCACGGGCGAGTTCTGACAAGCGGGCAGCGGGCAGTGTGTTTGTCCTCTGATACGTGATTTCCAAATGTGGTTATTCTTTATACTTTGGAAATTATCCTTAGAGTTTGCCTTCTCTGTTGAGCACAATTTTCTTTGCAAGTTTACGTAACTGTTAAGGCATGAAATCCACATAGTGAGTGAGTTATCCATCAATTAATGTCATTCAGAAGGTGAAGGTGGAGTTGTTCCTGGTTGGAACCCAGCTACTTGGTTCTGTGACACTTGACCTACAGTATAGGTCCTAACATTGGCACATGTCACATTCACAATGTGGATTCTTATTTTTAAGCTCCAAAGTGAAATTAACTTTTGACCAGATTCACAGCAATTCCTGTTCTGCCCAAGCTGCTTCTTATGCCATATTTTAAAAGAACTTCCCATGTTTGAGCTTGCTTTCTGGATGGTTGACAATAGCTTTCCTCCAAAAATAGACTCAATATCTGAAGGAGTTTCTGAAATTAAAATAATAATAACAACAACAAAACCCCACCAGGGACTCTGTAACTTAATGCCTTCTTTAAAAGGTGAAAAGGGCATTATTTGTGTAGTGGATACAAATGTCAGACTAGAAGCTCAGGCATGGTGGAAATGGGACTTGCTCTCTTTTCCTGTTACTGAACTTAAGTTCTGTTTTGAGCTTCTCTGAGTAGAAGCTCACTCACGGTCACTTCCAGGATTTTCTCTTCCCTGTC